ATACGTGTGATCGTTTGCGGTCCCTCGAATTGTGATAAAACCCACGTTCTGATAAATCTACTGGAAGGTCCACACGGTGTACGTTTCGAGAACGTGTACGTGTACTCGAAGTCACTGCAACAGCCGAAATATCGGTATCTGGAGAATTTATTGACGCCGATAAACGAAATCGGCTACTTTACGTTCTCGAATAACAGTGACGTCATTCCACCGAGCGAGGCACGTCCAAACTCGATTTTTGTCTTCGATGGCGTGCGACAAGCAAGATACAATAAGAGAGTACTTCTCAATGGGTCGTCACTCGAACTGCACTCGAACACGTCGACTGCTTCTATCTTTGTCAGACGTACGCGAGAATACCAAAACTTCTTATACGCGACAACGCGAACCTGCTGATTTTGTTCAAACAGGACGGTACAAATTTGAAACACGTGTACAACGATAACGTGAATACCGACATGTCGTACGAGGATTTCAGTGAATTATGCCGTACTTGTTGGCAGCAAAAGTACGGATTCCTAAGTGATTAATAAGGACAGCGCGCTTACGAACGGGCGATACAGAAAAGGATTTAACGTGTTCGCGATACCGCGAAACGATTAATCGCTGTCGACATTCCGTCGAGAGGGGTGAATCGCTCGATATTCCGTCAACATTGCTGAAAATAATAATATTCGCGAGCGTGAAAAGATTGCGCGGGAGATTGAGAAAACGAGCGAATCGATCCGCAAGAAACATCGCGCTTTGAAGACCGGTCAGATCGATGAAGATATCGCGGACACGACCCATTTTAGGCCTATTATCGAGTCACTGCAAAAGATCGTCGACAACTCCAGCGCAATCGCGGTGAAAAAGTAGCCGGAGAGTAACGCTGACGCTATAATTAAAACGTTACCCATCAAGCGATACAAGGAGGAGGAGGAGGAGGAGGAGGAGGATGCGACATCGAAAAAGAGGAAACGATCAAAGGCGAAGCGTTTATCGATGCCGCGTATATCCGATCTATCGGATGAACCGACAATAACCTCTACGGCCTCCACGCGGCTCGCGACGCACCAAGTCCGTTCTCGGCGGTACCAGCGACGCATAGCTGGGCGGTATCTACGTGTGGTATCTCGGGCGGCTTCTACGGGCTCCGCGCGGCACGCGACGGACCATGTCTATTCTCGGCGGTACCTACGACGCGTAGCCGGGCGGAACTTACGACGCGTGTTCGGGCGGTACATACGAGAGAGTCTGGCTGCTCCTACAGCCTCCGCGCGGCTCGCGACGCACCAATTCGGAACACGGCCATACTTGACTGTGATTGGTCAATTTCCTGAGGTTTACGCCTTACAACATTATGCTACGGTCGTTGTAGACGACTCTTGAAGTATCGTCTACATTGAGATTTTAAGGAAACTTAAGGCGTAAAACTTAAGAAGTTGACCAATCACAATCGAATATTCTCTTAATACTTGACAGTAATTGGTCAATTTCTTAAATCTTACGCCTTAATTCTCCTTAAAATTTCGTTGTGGACGACGTTTATTGTAGCGTCTATAATTAATTTTTAAGGCGTAAGTCTTAAGAAATTGATCAATCATGGTCTAGTAATAAGAGAATATTCCATTGTGATTGGTCAATTTCTCAAGTTTTACTCCTTAAAATCTTATTGTAGAAGACGCTTAAAGTCCATTCTACAGTTACCGTAGCATAAGGTTGTAAGGCGAAAGACTCAAGTATACCAATCACAGTCATATATTAAGAGTACACTCGACTGTGATTGGTCAATTTCTTGAGTTTTACGCCTTACAACCTTATGCTACGGCTATTGCAGACGAACCTTTAATCCCGACAACAAAGAATTTAAGCTCTACAACAGATAATTTAAGCTCTAAGCCTTAAGAAATTGCCAATCACAGCCGAGCCTTTCTTCATAAGCCGTGCTCCGAAATTATTACCAGTACTGCAAATTCTATAGTGCACGTTACGTATATAATACGTATATATTTTCAGTGTTGGCAGTAAACTGGCAACAATTTCGGAACACGGCCATACTTGAATGTGATTGGTCTATTTCTTGAGTCTTACGCCTTACAACTTTATACTACGGCCATTTTAAACGACTCGTGAAGCGTCGCCTACACTGAGATTTTAAGGAGACTTAAGGCGTAAGACTTAAGAAATTGAACAATCACAATCGAATATTTTCTTAATACTTGACTGTAATTGGTCAATTACTTAAATCTGACGACTTAAGTCTCCTTAAAATTTCATTGTAGACGACGCTTAATGTAGCGTCTATAATAAGATTTTAAGACGTAAGTCTTAAGAAATTGACCAATCACGGTCTATTATTAAGAGAATATTCGATTGTGATTGGTCAATTTCTTAAGTCTTACGGCATAAATCTCATTGTAGAAGACGCTCAACACGTCATCTACAATGGCAGTAGAATTAACGGATTAAAGCAGTAACATAAGGAATTGACCAATCATATTCAAGCATTAAAAGAATACTCGACTGTGATTGGTCAATTTATTGAGTTAAAACTATCATTCATTAATTCTACTGCCATTGTAGACGATCCTTTAAAGTCGTCCACAGTGGCCGTAGATTAAGGTTGTAAGATTCAAGAAATTGACCAATCACAGTCAAATATTAAGAGAATACTCGACTGTGATTGATCAATTTCTTGAGTTTTACGCCTTACAACCTTATGCTACGGCCACGCAGATGAACCTTACGCTACGCGTCGTATGTACCGCCGAGAACGGACATGGTGCGTCGCGTGCAGCGCGGAGGCCGTAGATGCCGCCCGAGACACCACTCGTAGGTACCGCCAGATAGCTCTCTCGTAGGTACCGCCCGGCCACACGTATTTATCGCCCGGCTACGCGTCGTATGTACCGCCGTGAACGGACTTAGTGCGTTGCGTGCCGCGCGGAGGCCGTAGGTGCCGATCGACCGCTCTCTTGTAGGTACCGACCGGCCACGTGTCGTAGTTACTGCCCGGCTACGCGTCGTAGGTACCGCCTAGAATGGACTGTGTTCGTCGCGTGCCGCGCGGAGGTAGTAGAAGCCACCCGCGATACCACTCGTAGGTACCGCTCGGCTACGCGTCGTTGGTACCGCCGAAAACGGACTTGGTGCGTCGCGAGCCGCGTGGAGACCGTATGTGCCGCTTGACCGATCTCTCGTAGATACCGTCCTGCTACGCGTCGTACCACCCGGCTACGCGTCGTAGGTACCGCCGAGAACGGACTTGGTGCATCGCGAGCCGCGCGGAGGCCGTAGGTGCCGCCCGATCGCTCTGTCGTAGGTACTACTCGGCTACGCGTCGTAGGTACCGCCGAGAACGGACATTGTCCGTCGCGGGCATCGCGGAGAGTAGATATACTAGGCCGGTTCTAACTCAGGTCCTCTCAGGGAGATGAGGTACGAGGAGATCTCAGCGGAGCGGGGCCCCCGTCACGCGGGAGTTGCGGGGTGGGTGACTCAGGTTGAATGACAAGCATAAACAAAAGTACAAAAAGAGTGATATTCTTTTGAAAAGGATTTTGGGCCTAATCCTTTTTTTTTGTTCTTTTATTTTATTTTATTGTATTTTATTGTATTTTATTTTTAAGGAAAAATTTTAATAGCGCTAATGATCGGCTGCTTTGTCTGGGGTTTACTCGATTAGACACAATACAATTGGACACAACTGGCTTTGATTGATTATCGGACGTGTCTCCCTCGTTTACATATCAGCGCCGATGTTCGGCTGCTTTGTACTCTCGAGGTACACCCCTAATATAGATAATTCCAGGTTTTTTTCCCGTTCGAGGTATAAACAATAGAGATTAAGCTGACAAGCTTTCAGAGATTATCGGGAACACAAAAGAAATTTTTTTTGCAAATGGGATACTATAAAAAAAAACCTTTTACACATATGGGATATTATAATAAACCTTTTATACTCTTTTTTACCCTTATATATATTTTTATAACTTTATTTCATAAACTTACATTTTTGAGATATTTCAGTCCAACCTTTTCAAGCAATCTGTGTAATATAATAGCACATTTTCTACGATCCTAGGTACATTTGCAAGAAAATTTTCTTTCGTGTCCCCAACAGTCTCTGAAAGCTTGTTGGTCGAATATAAGAAGGATCGAAGCGCAGCAGATCATAGTACGTCATTTGAAAACGCATCGACACATCGGTAGCAAAAGTAGTGTTCTCTCAGAAAGTATAGTGTTTTGTCAGAAAAATTTTTTGCGCGATTTCACGTTCAAGATAGCGAATGGTATTGTTTATCGTGTGCAAAAGTTACGTGCAAGTGCTCCGTAGAAATAGAATCCTGTGACATATTGTAAAAAAAATGGAAAACATCGAGCAGACTGAACGCGATCTGATGGAGCGATCTCGCCAAATTGCCACCTTGGGCGAGTATTTTGCATGGCTGCAGCGTTGCGAGGAATTGATCAAAGAGCTCGAAGAACGCAGTCGTATTAAGCGACTCTCGATCGGAAATAGACAATCTCTGGCAGCTAAAATCGCGCGACTCGAAGGTGCAAAAACTCGATTGCAGAGACGATTTATTCCCAGTGGTGGTGATTACAGCGGATACAATAACGCGGAAAGACTCGTTTGACGAGAGATCGATACCGCGTTCGAGAGTCACGTATCGACTGGTGCGGTGATAAATTATAATCACATCGAACCGCGCCAATTTCTCGAAGATGCCAAAAACATTGTGTTGGAATATGTGCAGGACGCTCTAAAAAAACACAACAGTGTAAAAGTGAACACTGTATTCAACGGTGAATTTGTAGCCGGAGATAAACGCGCGAATAAAAGTGTAAATACGAGAAACTATGAACTCTTTCGCACGTCCGATTTATGCGAGTGGTACGAACAGCGCGTTATCGAGTCCACTTTAGCATCACTGGACGAATTTCAGGAACGTGACAGCGGGTGGGCTTTGTCACGAATACATAATTTAACTGTAAATATAAACAAGTACAATCCTATGCGCGCGGGATGTCACATCAAGTTGCCACGGGAGATTATGATGAAGAGAGCGGTGATTAACGTACAATCTAAAGACAATGCGTGTTTCGCGCGGGCAGTGGTCGCCGCTCTATACCCCACCGAAAGGAACGCGGAACGGGAATCATCGTACCCGCATTACGCGACAGTGTTGAATCTCCGGGACATTGAGTTTCCAATGACTGTGAATCAAATTAAGAAATTTGAACTTACAAATGACATTTCCATAAATGTGTACAACATCGAAGATAAGAACATTGTCCCGATACGTCTTTCGAACCAGAAACGGGACAGGCATGTCAACTTGCTGTACATTGAAGATGATAACAGCGTGGAACATTTCGCATGGATCAAGAATTTATCCCGACTAGTGAGCTCGCAATTGAGCAAAAAAGATCACAAGAAATATATCTGCGATCGGTAAGTTTATTTTATATTATTTGAATAATTATAATTTGTATAATTATAATATGGATTGTTAAAATCTTAATTAAAATTTTTTTTCTTTTACAGATGCCTTCATTATTTTGGTTCGGACGACAAGTTGCAGTCGCATACGGTCGACTGCGGAAAGATGAACGACTGCGTTGTCCGATTGCCGAGCGACAAGGACAAGTGGTTATCGTTCAACAACTCTAATCGGAAGGAGCGGCTTCCATTTGTGGTCTACGTCGACCTGGAATGCGTCCTGACCAAGACAGAGGAAGAAAAATTGTATCAACACCATCGGGTATTTAGTTTAGCTTACTATGTACATTGTTCGTATGATAAATCATTATCAGCGTATCATTCGCATCGTAGCGCCGATTGTATAGCGTGGTTCGCCAAAGACCTTAAAAATGTAGCAATTGGCGTTAAGAATATCTTAAAAACAAATGTCCCCATGGTAAATTTAACGTCCGAAGAGTGGAAAAAATTCCATAGCGCCACTCGTTGTCATATATGCGAAAAGCCCTTCGCGCAAGACGATACACGCGTACGCGATCATTGCCATCTGACCGGGCGGTACAGAGGTCCCGCGCATTCAAACTGTAATTTAAATTATAAAGATTCTTTTTGTATTCTGATAGTTTTTCACAATTTATCCGGTTATGATTCTCATTTTATTATCGAGGAAATAGCCACAGCATTCGAAGGGAAAATCGAGTTACTTCCAATAACCAAGGAAAAATATATTTCGTTTACCAAAAATGTTGATCATAAAGATATGTTTGTATGAATTTCATCACGAGTACATGTCTCCTCTGTATCGCGATAAATGTAAGATTATGTACACCGACACAGACAGTCTCATATATCACATTGAGTGCGTTGATGTGTATGAGAACATGAAGCGCGATATCGCCAGATTTGAAACGAGTGATTATGCGGTAGACAATGCGTACAGTATACCGCTTGAAAATAAAAAAGTACCGGGCCTGATGAAGGACGAAAATAACGGTGCCATAATGACCGAATTCGTCGGGCTCAGAGCAAAGATGTACGTATTACGAGTCGATGGAAAAAAGGATACAAAAAAAGTTAAAGGCGTCAAGAGCAACGTTGTCGCGAGAACGATAACGTTTGACGATTACACGCGGTGTTTGAAAGAAGAAATTGAAATGACGCGCAAGCAGTCGTGTATACGATCTAAACTGCACTAAGTATACACGATCCGCGAGACGAAAATTGCTTTGAATCCGTATGACGATAAGCGGTATATCGTACCCGAAACCACAGATACATTACCGTGGGGACATTATAGGATACCATTGTAAAAATAATGTAAAATACATAAAATGTAAAATGTAAAATGTGTGCGATAAACTATCTATTAAAAGAATTATTAATAAAGATTTTTATATTACATATATTTTTATGTAATGTAATGTATATTTCATACATCTTATTATCTTATTAAAAAAAAATGTACTATCGAAAGGAATATTAATAAGGATTTTTTGTATTTCATATATTTCATACATCTTATTATAACTTATTAAAAATACATATACTATAGAAAGGAATATTGATAAGGATTTTTTATGTATATTTTTATGTATATTTTTATTTTTTCAAATATTATAATGTTATACACATATATTTTTTCCAGAAAATTAAAAAAAATAAATAAACACTGTATGATTAACTAAATCACATTGTCTTTATGTATCCAAGAATTGTGTGAATTATCAAATTCCAGCCATTTCACGTAAACCTCGTCACCCCTCCTGCGCAGTACTTTCTCCACGAGATACACGTTCGGATAATTCGCGCGATGCAATTCGTGTTCGTAGAACGCTCCAGCGATAGATTTTTTGCGATAATCCTCAAGTAGATAGCTTACGGGATTAGTATGCTGCACTTTTTATAATTTTAAACACCTCGGCTGTCCAATTTGGCGTGTAACCCTTCTCGAAAACTGTCTTGTACTTGCTAACGCGTACCGAGTCACCTACTTTGAATTTCGCCGGACCCGCGATATTTACATGGTTGTACACAGTAGCCAAGAGTCTTTCAGCGATCGCGTGGGTACCGTCGACGGGCCGCATACCGATCGTTCGATGCTTGCGCGCGTTGTAATCTAACACGAGTTCCGGCAACATATTGATCCACTTGCAAGATCCGTTTAGCGTAAACATCTTCCACATGTCGTTTTTCAGCGTGCGATTGAATCGCTCAACGATCGATGCCTTTAATGTCGAATATGTAGAATAATGATTGATGTCATGTTTTCGCATGAGCCGTTGTACGTTATAAAATTCCTTGCCCATATCGGTCTGTATATTTTTCGGACACCTCTTGCTATCTCGAATTATCTTGGCGATAGCGTCAGCTGTCTCGCTTCCACCTTTACTCTTGAGTGGTACTGCCAACGCGTACTTGCTCAATGCATCGATGACAGTGAGTATGTAGTTGTAACCTCTGTTGAAACGAGAGTACGGACGCATCTCGACGATGTCGGCTTGCCACTGGTCATCGTATCCCCGCACTATGACGTGTCTTCGGGGGAAATTTTTTCTCGCTGGTGCGTGCAGTTCGTTCACCAACTGTCGTTTCTCTAAACTATGTTGTTTCTTCGCTTCCTCGATTATTCCCATTCGTCGATCCATCGTTGTTTCGATTCGTCGATCAAATAAATGATACGTATCAGCGTTCGTTTTATTATTCGTTGTCACTCTTTAGCCGTTCACTGCCGTTCGATAGCCGTTCGTGGCCATTCAATAGCCGTTCGTAGCCGTTCACTATCGTTCGATAATCCTTCATAGCCGTTCGATAAGCGTTTGTAGCCGTTCGATAAGCCTTTGTAGATATTTAATAATTGTACAATAGCTGTTCCTAAACTGTTCGCTACAGCTCATTATAGGTTGACAGCCGTTTCTGAATTAGTGTTAATCGCACGTCGAAGTTCGTTTATCACAATCTGCAAAACTCGCATATCCTTCTCGAACGCAATCAGCTTCTCGTCTGATTTTTTCTGTTGATTCTTCAACGTTTTAACACATTCTTTCACGTACAGTTTGTTGACTGCATCGGTATCAGCCTCAGGTTGTGCTACACGACGAATCTTGCGCGACCTCGCGTCATAGTCCGTAGCGACGCGACACAGAGCGTTTCGACGCAAGTAACTTGTCACCAATTTACCCCAATGATCGCTTGTGCAGATTTCTTCATTTCTTCGTTCGAATAATCCAAATTTGTTGATAGGCATTTTTTTCGATGTGAATAACATTGATCAACTGATTAGTTTTGTCGAGACACCATTTAATTTATAATAAGGCCAGCTTCGCGAAGTTCCTCTATGATCGACAAGATCTCGTTGTCGTGAGCGTTGTGGCCAGCTCGGCGCGAAGCGTCGAGCAATCGTAGGCGATCCACTAGCTCGTTGGGATCGTCCCAGTGCACGTAATCGATCTTATTGTCGGTTAGCGTCATCGCGCGAGGCGTGAATACTCCCGTTCCCGTTTTTTTTTTTTTTCGATTCGATCGACATCAACGGTGCAATTATTTGTTTATACTTATATCCCTTGTTGCTCTTTAATTGACTTTGCGCATCATATTGACGTTTATGCGCACTCGTCGTCATCAATAGGCTCTTATATTTTTGCATATCGTCCTCAGTGTATATGGACGTCGTCGGGAATTCTCTTGAAGATCAACTCGTATAATCCTGGTGTACCAATATACCTCACTTTGTCTATGATTATAGAGTCATCTTTGTCAATGTCGAATTGTTTGTTACCGAGACGCATTCCATTCTCGTCGAAATAGACGCCGTACACGTGATCGATCGCGTTTTTTCTTTCGTCACCGCTAAGAAGAGCACCTATGTATTTTTGTTCCAGTGATCCCAAGTGCTCTTGTAACACTTCTTGACCTTCCAACATTGGTAATCTGTTTCGAACGGATGTTTCGAGCGGGTTGCCCGTGGTTTCGAAAACTTCCTCTTGAAACAGATTTTTTTGGGATTTTTCGAGAACTCCTTCGATCTCATCAAGTAATTTGGGTATCCTGGATTGTACGGTTCTCGTTGTCCCGGACGGTGTAGAGGTTATCAGCGGTGTAGAAGTTAGCAGTGGTTCATCCAATGTACGCGGCGTCAATAAACATTTAGCCTTCAATCGTTTCCTCTTTTTCGGGGTCGCATCCTCCTCCTCCTCCTCCTTCTTCTCTTTCTCCTTATATCGCTTGATGGGTAATGTTTTAATTATAGCGTCAGCGTTACTCTCCGGCTCATTTTTCGACGCGATAAAGCTAGAGTTGTCGGCGATTTTTTGTAGTGGCTCGATAATAGGTCTAAAATGGGTCTTGACCGCGATATCGATCTTACCGGTCTTTAAAGCGCGATGTTTCTTGCGGATCGATTCGATCGTTTTCTCAATCTCCTTCGCAATCTTTTCACGCTCACGAATATTATCGCTTTCAGCCATGTTGACGGAATGTCGAGCGTTTCGCCCTTCTCGATAAAATGTTGGCAGCGACTAATCGTATCGCGAACACGTTAAATCCTTTTCTGTATCGCCCGTTCGTAAGCGAGCTGTCCTTATCTATCACGGAATCCATATTTCCAACAAATATCCTTTTATTGCCAACAAGACATAATTCACTGAAATCCTCGTACGACATGTCGATATTCACATGATCGTTGTACACGTGTTTCAAGTTGGTATCATCCTGTTTAAACAAGATCAGCAGGTTCGCGTTTTCGCGTATAAGATGTTTTAGTATTCTCGCGTACGTCTGACAAAGATAGAAGCAGTCGACGTTCGAGTGACGACCCATTGAGAAATACTCTCTTATCGTATCTTGCTTGTCGCACGCCACATCATCGAAGACGAAAATCGAGTTTGGATGTGCCTCGCTCGGTGGAATGACATCACTGTTATTCGAGAACGTAAAGTAGCCGATTTCGTCGATCGGCGTCAACAAATTCTCCAGATATCGTTATTTTGGCTGTTGCAGCGACTTCGAATACACGTACAGATTCTCGAAACGTACACCGTGCGGACTTTCCAGTAGACTTATCAAAACGTTGGTTTTACCACAATTCGAGGGTCCGCAAATGATCGCGCGTATAGTAGTCGGTAGCATCGTACCGTGCCTGCGCATCTCTGCGTTGTCCCCCATTAATCGTAATCTGTTATCGCAATTTCTCACGTAAATCGTCAAAGGTTGTCGTACGAATCTCATTTTTTTCAACATTGTTGATTGGATCGAACGTCTGCCTATTTATAGATGCGCGAAATCACGAGTCGCTCAGTAGAGAAAAAATGTTCATTCTGCTGTCAAGTCCTTCCGACATTTGCGATTTGAGCGTCGAACAGCTACAATTTGTGTCGAAGGCAGTTCTGTTGTGAATGTGCGGTGATCACGTTCACTACGTGTGGGACAAGCTTCCAGAATATATAAAGGCGGATCCGGAGATTCAGACGTATCGTTGCTGTTACAAACACTACAATCAGCCGTGGCAGGAAACGCACATCGACGGTCCGGTGCCATTGATAAACAATTGCAGCGAATGTCAACGAAAATAGGTAGAGGCCTATTAAATCACGCGATAAACGCACTTCCGATCGAATTACATATTCCCGGCTATCAGTTTTGCGGGCCAGGTACACGGTTGGAGAAGCGATTAGCTAGAGGTATAAATCCATTGGACGCGGCGTGTCGCGAACACGATATAGCATACTCTCGAAGCAACGATCTCGCCGAGAGACACGCTGCGGATAGGATACTCGCCGAGAAAGCGCGGAATCACATCGTTGCGAGAGATTCGACTCTCGGTGAGAGAGCCGCCGCTACAGCTGTCTGGACAGCGATGAAAGCTAAGACGAAGCTCGGTATGGGTCTGAAGACAACGAAGACAAAGAAAAGAATGGCGAAGAAAACGGATACTTCCGGTAGCGAAATGCGGCAGCGTATTGCCGATTCTACCAAATTGGAAGCGCTCGGATCCATGATCGGTGGAGCGGCTGGTGTAGTGAAGGCTGTGAACGACAGAAAAGCCGCGCAACGTCAGTTGCAGGAGATGCTACGTCACAATCGCGCCATGGAAGATCGTGGATTATATCTCGCTCCTTACAAACACGGATGAGGAGCCTCACCGAGAAAAAAAAAAACGTCAGAGACACTAAAAATGCTGCAGGGTGCAACTACCAACGTACAATTGCTGCAACTGGCAAAACGTATGCGCATTCCATATTTTAGAGGTGTTTTCATGCGCAACTCTTTACCGATCGGTTGTATTTATCAAAACGAGAGCGGCATCGTAAATTTGGATAGCGTCGAAGGACCAGGTACTCATTGGGTAGCGTACGCAAAGAGGGAAATCGCGTTATATATTTCGACAGTTTCGGCAATCTTCGACCACCGAATGAACTGGTGCAATATTTCGGACCAAACGTAACGAAGATACAGTACAATTACACACCTGTTCAAACTTACGATCAGAGCATCTGTGGACAATTGTGCTTGCAGTTTCTTCGAACAGTCGATGCGTGCGAATTTAAAGACTGATATTGCGCTATTTAACTCAGTATTCGTTAAACAGTTTTGCCGACATGTCTATGACATTCACGTTGAGTGGGAAGAGTAGCGTTCTCACGGCAAACTTCTTTCCCGCCGTAGATTTGGGCGACGATGCATACGAACTCGGTCTAACGGATTTTGAGACTTATCACACGATACCGAATGTGAATTCCTCGAATAATAAATTTTACTTTGGCAAAGACGACGCGGAAATTACGATTCCTGAGGGATCGTACGAGTTGCGAGATATACATGAATTTTTGAAACGTGCAATTTCACGGAAACATCGCGATAAGAAACACATTGACGGCGGTAATTATGAAGATGGTGAATATCCGATAGTGCTCCGCACTAATTACAATACGATGAGGAGCGAGATCAAATGCGCATACAGATTAAACTTTAGCAAACCCGGCAACATTGGATCGCTGCTAGGATTCTCGAATCGTATTCTCGAGTCGGGAAAATGATACGAATCGAACATGCCGATTAACATTATCAACGTTAATATTATCCGCATAAAATGTAACGTGACCGCGGGCGCGTACAACATCGGCAAACTCGTTCATACGATACATGAATTTTCACAGAGGGTACTGCCGGGATATAAGATATCGGAAACGCCGGCGCAGATCATTTACCTGTCGATCATCGCGCGGAGCATTACGAATTTAACGTTACGCGTTGTTGACCAAAACGGACGATTGCTCGATTTTCGAGGAGAAGAGATCACCGTAAGATTGCACGTACGACGGCTGCGGCAATAACATACGTATGCGACGTATGAGATGCTCGTGTTGAACGGATCGAAAGACGTGAGAGATAACACGATCTTTACGAAATCAGCGACACCAACAACAACAACAACAACAACAACATCGACGTTCGCTAATATCCAATCATCCGAGAAAAAGAAACTCGACGCATCGAACGTTGCGTTTTTGCAATCTTTGGGATTCGCGATGCGAAACAGCTGAACGATGACTGGCATCCTCAACATCGGTGACTAACCTATCTTTGACGATCGTATCGTCAAGATCGAGACTCACACGTACAACCGTTCGCCAATACAACGTTCGGACACAATGACGAGATAAGAATATCCATACAACAACAGGATCTGTATACGTTGCCGCATGAGAATTTCCTATAATCGAGGGAAAACTAACGAAAAACAAACCACCAGCTGAAGGAGAAAATGAAGTGTTACTGAGAAAAAATTGCGTCGCATTCATGTTCGATGAGATTCAATACGAACTCGACGGTGTTGAGATTGATCGGCAATAGAAAGGTAGGAATAACTACTACGCTCAAAAAACTATGCAACAGCATCAACCGATAGACACGTGATTTTGAAAAAATGCCGGCTGGGAGACGACTACTTACGCGAATGGACATTTCAATTTTTTGCGTACCGCTCTACATGTTGCTGGGATTTTGCGAGGATTACAGACGCGTGGTGATTAACGCTCGTCACGAATTGATCTTGATACGATCGCGCAACGACAACAATTGTCTGCTTGGAAATTCGGCGCAGGAGCCTGTGATCGACATATTCAAGATACAATGGCGAATGCCTCATGTGCTGTTGAGCGAAATCAAAAAGTTGTCGATGCTGCGTGCCTCTGGAAAGCGAACGATATCTCAGCATGGCTTTTCGCTCGTGGGATCTGTACGAGTATCCGCTATTGTNTATATATACATATATTTCTGAAATTTTGTGTCTAACATCTCCATTACTATTTAGGAGAACTATAAGACTCAAATATCACTCAAATTATACTTTACTCAAAATATACATATGCCTATCTATATATATGTATATCGGATCACGATTAATTCTATTAACATATATATACATATATTAAAATAAAATCGCTATATTGATCCTACTAACCTAATTATTAAACAAGACATACACATAGATACACAAAACGGAACAACAAAATGTACCTGATGATCATCAACAAAATTTATAAATATAATGACTTACAATTCAAGAAAATAAATTAAATAAAATTAAAATCCGTATCTGTTTCTATTTGATCTGTCGGATAAATAAAAGCCCCCAACTATTCTTTATGACATACAGAATTTATTAAATAAACATAGTATGTGCTAACCAGAAATTAATAAGAATTTTTTCAATGAAATAAAGCTAATTTATAAACCATTTTGTTGAACCAAAAGAATAAATAAAAATATAATAATAAGAACGTCTATGCTTATATATATATATCGTTGGAACCTTGTAGCACAAATCATAGGCTTGAACATCTCTCTCTCTCTCCCACGTAAACACTCTCTTAAACGTAGATTCTCACCACTAGAAACCTGAAAAAGAAAATCGTAATTAATAAAAGGTCTATATACAATTTCCTATATAATAATTGAAGAAAATAATGACCCTCCAAGATAATATAATCAAAATATAAAAATTCTCAATTTAACGCTGCATACTAATACTAAATTAATTCATGACAAATGACCAACCAATAACTAAGGATACAAATTTTAATAATATGTACATCGGACACATGCATATATTACATAACCTAATTATAAATAAATACGCGTAAGGCAAATTACTAACAATAATAGTCAATCGCCATGTTATAGAAAATTAAATTCGTATAATTAATATATGCATATATAGGATCCCTTGTAATGCCAATGAAAATTAACGCATAAGAATTAACAAAAGAAATAATAAGTTAACATTATAAATATATAAATAATAAAACAAAGGGAAATATTTACGCTTACTTATGTAATTCTTCATGATTATCAAACCATAAATATGAAATGATTTATAAGCTTCCCTTTTCCCAATGAATATACATATATATATTCTCTAATAACGTGTAGGAAAAATATATAATAAAAATATAACTAATACACATACATGTACATATATTAAACACGACGATTTTTGTCCTACACGGATATCGCGAATAACTAAAGACAAAATAATAATCCCTTGAGAAATCAACGCTTTGACCAATGAAAATTTAATAAAAGATATTTTTAGCAACAGTATTCCTAAGCAAATTGGAATAAATTAGATAAAATCATTTTGATATATGAACAATCGAAATCTTAATGCATTAATCGAAATTTAAAATTATTATATGATTAATGATACTTCAATATTTCATTTATATAAAGCAAAAGTATCGACGTTTATAAAATCTTATTGTATGCCGTTTATAAAATTAATATCTTAAGACATACAAACCAATATTAAAATCTCGATACATATACGTATACACATTCCTGTTAGTTAATAATATAATTTTAAACCTTGTATTCCTTAACTACCTCTAAAAGGAAATTAATACTAACAATCAAGATCTATATAAAATCCGCGATGTGAGCGATTTTTAATAATCATCCACCTCGACATCGACAAATCCAAATATCATTTAAAAGTAAAGCCACGGTAGTCCTGCACCTGAAAGAGAAAAATTAATTAGTTAACGAATCTCAAAACTTTAACGAAACATCAATAATAAAATATAATTGGAAGAATCAAATATTAACGATAAAATTGAATAATTAAATTTTAGCGACAGACTTGATAAATTACTCGACGGAATTGATTAAACAATTAATATGCATAGGACATGACAGGCAAAGCATATTATATAATCATAAAAGCAACACAATCGTCTTTAAATAATTAAAAATATAATAATTAAAACGTGTTAAAAATATAATAACATAATATTAATAGGTACGTCTTATAACAGTACCATTAAAAATACTTATATAATCAAAAATCCTTACAACACCGATGTCTTAACTAAAAACATATATATATATATATATGTTATATATATATATATATATATATATATATATATATAATTATGCGTTGAAATAACCCCTATAATTTCGACGTAGAAATGTTGATCCACCAACCCCCTTCTTCCCCGTATATAAATACATGTACGCTCCCATTCGGTAACCTGTAAAAGAAATAAAACAATTAATACAAAATAAA